CTTTATCCAAATCCATTTGCAATGTCCATTAAATAACATCAGTAAATATTTCAATTTAACAAGATAGTCCACTTCACTCTCAAGATATATTATTTGTATGTCCCTTTTGATTTTTAAGTGATCATTCAATTCCATTTGTACATCTAGCATTGCCATCTCTTTCTTATAAATTGTAATTTTAAATCCACCTTAAAGTCCATTTCAGTTCATTAACTTTTAATTCCAGTAAAGAATTAAAAACTCAAGGACTTCACCAGCTCACACATCAAATGTTTCTTTCGAAGTAACCATCATGCACTTTAGCAATTGATGTTCAAAATCTTATCTTGCATTGAAATGTAAAATAGAGAGATTTTTCCCAGAGGAGGAATCTTTCTAATTAATTTCAAAGTCTTTGAAGCATGCAAACCAGCATTTGCATTTCCTGCATTGGCCGAGGAGAGCATATCTTTCTCCTACTGTCCTGGCCACTTTTTACAGAGGCATGACTGAGAGTGTTTTAACAAACTGCATCACTGTTTGGTTTGATGGTTGTAGTGCCCCAGATAGAAGGTCCATACAGAGAGTAGTAAGGACAGCTGAGAAGATTATAGGAAGCTCGCTTCCCATTATTCAGGATACTGCTTATAAGCGAAATGTGCTTAGAACTTGAGAGACCCCACACACCCACTTAACAGTTTCTTTCTGTTGCTCCTCTCTAGGAGGAGATATTTATAGCAGGACTACTAGATTTTTTAAATAGCTTTGTTCCTTATGCCATCCATCTTGTAAATTCACAGGATTCTTTTTTTTCACCATGTATCTACCTTTGAACTAGAGTGATGTTTCTCTGTGTCATACAGGGGTGGGCTGCTACCGGTTCACACCAGTTCGTGTGAACCGGATATTACTTTTACATCTGGTTTGCCGAATGGTAGTTCTGCTGACTGGCTGGCCCCGCCCATCCCTCCCCTCCCAGAACTCTCCACGCGGCCTGTTTTGGATCCCAGGTAGGGCCCACACGGAGGATTGGGGAAGGCGAAAAACAGGCCTCCTGGAGACTCCAGGAGGCTGGTAACGGGCCAGTTTCTGGCCTCCAGAGAGCCTCCAGAGCCCGGGAAGGGGGGAAACAGGTTTCCCGGAGGTTCCAAGAAAGCCCAGGGAGGGGGAAAACAGGCCTTCTGGAGGCTCCGGAAGGCCAGAAACAGGCCCATTTCCAGCCTCCAGTGGGCCTCCGGAGCCCGGGGAAGCCGTTTTCACCCTCCCGAAGGCTTGAGAAAAGCCTCCAAAGCTCAGGGATGTCAAAAATGCCCCCCCCCATGGTGCAGGAGGCCGACTAGGCCGTGCCCACCACGGCCATGCCGACCCAGCAACCGGGCAGAGAAACAATTGCTAAATTTTTTGAAGCCCACCCATGGTGTCATATATATGTGTGGGGGGTATAGGCATAATAGTTATGTTTTGAGAGTTCAATGCGATGAAATTTCATTTGAATATATGCCAATTAGTGTACGTTAAAGTGACAATGAAGTTTCTATTCTATTCTATTCATTTTTCTTTACATCAATTTCACAAAGCATTTACAATTTTTAAAAACAACTCTAAAGTCACTCCTTTGTTGTATATTGCAAAAATATACAAGTATACAAAAAAAAAATCTTACAAAGCTGAAAATTTGTAACTTTTTAAAAATGGATTGAAGAGAAATTCACCCAGTAATTTGTAGGAATACAGTTCTGAAAGTTTTTATTGCCAATCTTAAATAAGCAATAACAAAATAAACTCCAAAGTTAGTTAAAAGGTTAGGTTTTGTGAAACCTTGAGTCCACAAAAGGCTACATTTACGACTCAGAACACAACGAAACCCATGACTTCCAGTTGATCACATGGCTGCAAAAATGTTGATTTCTGCTGTCTGATCAGAAAAATCAGGTGTGGTGAAGTACATGTGGGTAATTACCAGATCTCTCTTTATTCTAGAGCAGGGCTGTCAAACTCCTGGCCCGCAGGCTGGATGCATCACGTGCTGGCCATGCCCACGCCCGGTATAGCAAAGGGGGGGAAAGTCTCGATATGTCACATGAAGCCGCTGTGATGACGTTAGTTTGACACCCCTGTTCTAAAGAGATTTCACTTCCAGCTGCCTTTGTGGCTGTAATGCCCTGCAAATCCATCTGCAATGGAAACAGATGTGGGCAATAGCTCACCTCATTAGAAGTCTCCCATTGCAGCCCACCTCCTGACATTAATTAGTATAGGCATTCTTGGAGACCAATGAAATGTTGCTCTGTATAAAACATACTTGGCATTCTGTGATGGTTTTCTTTACAAAAATTAAATTGTTGAATGTCCAACTTTCTACATATTAATTATATTATATCCCTTCCTATTCTAGAATATATCAAGCCTTTACATTTTTTTTAACATCTTATTTGATTTGTCAATCACTTACAAGATACAGGTATAAGAATAAATATAGTTTTGAATACATGAGATAGATACTTATAAGAAAAATAAAAAACAATAGGACAGGGATGGTAGGCACGATTGGTGGGCTTATGCACGCCCCCTACAGGCCTCTTAGGAAGGGGGTGAGCTCAATAGTAGACAGTCTAAGGTTAAAGTTTTTGGGATTTGGGGAAGAAACCACAGAGTCAGGTAGAGTATTCCAAACATTGACCACTCTGTTGCTGAAGTTGTATTTTCTGCAGTCAGATTTGGTGCGGTTAACCTTGAGTTTGTATCTATTGTGTGCTCTTGTATTATTATGGTTGAAGCTGAAGTATTCATTTGCAGGTAGGACATTGCAATGTATGATTTTATATACTATATTTAGATCAGGCAGGAGGTTTTCTAGGTCTAGAGTTTCAAGTCTGGTGGCATAAGGTATTCTGCAATGAGTAGAGGAGTGGAGAACTCTTCTTGTGAAATATTTCCGGACTTTTTCAATTGTGTTAATATCAGATACGTAATGTGGGTTCCAGACTGATGAGCTGTATTCAAGTATAGGTCTAGCAAACGTTTTGTATGCTCTAGTTAGTAGTGTGATATTACCAGAGAAGAAGCTACGTAGGATTAGATTAACAACTCTTAATGCCTTTTTGGCTATGTAGTTACAGTGGGCTCTAGCATTTTAGATCATTTGAGATGAGTACTCCAAGGTCCTTGACAACGTTTGGATCCTCAACAAGGTCTTGACTATTTAGCTTGTATTTTATTTTCTGATTTTTTTCTGCCAATATGTACGACAGAGTATTTATTTGTTGAGATTTGAAGTTGCCATTTGATTGACCATTCTGATACATAGTCAAGGTCTTTTTGGAGAGTAGTAGTATTGTCTGTGGTGTTGAGTAGCTTTACATCATCAGCAAAAAGAACACAGTTGCTCTTAATATGATCACAGAGGTCATTTATGTAGAGTATGAAAAGAGTTGGTTGTAAAACACTGCCTTGGGGGACACCACTATTGACAGGTACAGAATTTGATAGGACGCTCCCAATTTTGACCATTTGTTGTCTGTTTGACAGGAATGCTTCTATCCAGTTTTGTAGGTGTCCAGAGATACCATAAGATCTTAGTTTTAGGAGTAGTTTGTCATGTACCACTGAATCAAAGGCTTTACAGAAGTCTATGTAGATTGTATCTATTGCTTTGCCCTGATCGAGTTGTGTAGTCCATATGTTTTTGTAGTGTAAGAGTTGCAGATTACAGGATAGATTTTTTTCTGAAACCAAATTGTTTATTAGAGAGTAGGTTGTTTGTCTCTAAGTGGAGGATAATGGATTGGTTAATAATTGATTCCATGACTTTACAGGTGACGCAGCATAAGGAGAGTGGTCTGTAATTTTCAACTAGGCTTGGGTCTCCCTTTTTGAAGATGGGGTTGACTGTGGCTTGTGACCATAGGTTAGGCAAGGAGCTGGTCCTGAAAGTTTTTTCAAAGATTATGCTTAGAGGTTTGGCTATGGCAGTGGATAGCTTTTTTAAGAAGTAGGCACATTTCCGTCCAGTCCAATACAGAGATGGTTTTAGATTGCGCAGTGCTTTTTCAACAATGTTTTCTGTAAAATCGATATGTATTAGATCATTGTAGTTGTCTGTGGTTTGACTAGGAAGTACCGGGCTTGATCCATTGCTGTTTACAAATACTGAGCCAAAGAATGTATTAAAGAGGTTTGCTTTGATGGTGTCATCATTGCAGTCTTTGCCATTAGGTCCTTTCACAGGTTGCAGTTCAGGTAACAATACATGGAGAATTTGGGGGAAATGAACACTTTGGCACATATTTCTGACCTGCAAATCAGCTTCAACAATACAATAATGCAAAGTAATATATGTACCTGTCCTTTTCTTATAGGTCATTTCTTACCAAAGGACATTATGGCAATTTCTGTCATTTTAATTGAAACTGCCTGCCACAGATAGGGAAAGGAATGAATCATTTCTCTCCCATCCAAACTGTAGAGGCTTCCCACACAAGGTCATCTATATATGTAATTTCTCCAATCTTTGGCTAGCTTTATTTCCACAGATTAAGCAAGCAGCTATGCCTACACAAGTCATCAGATTCTGTCAAAAAATGAAAAAGTTCTTAACACTTTCCTTTTTTAAGGAAAAAAGAAAAGAAAAAAAGATAACGGGTGAGTTGTATCATCATGCTCGATAAAATAGGTTTATCTTGGTGGTGATTAGGTTGGATCTGGCTACTGCTTGAATAGATGATGGAGAGAAAACCAGGTCTATAAAACTAGGCAGGGAAGTGGATTTCACATTTTTAATTCTTTTCGGGTGAAGGTGAGTATAAATATGTCATAAAATAATAGCTTGGAATTACAACACATTTTGCTTGGCTTATATTTCTGTGGTGACCTAAATGAACTCCAGATGCTTTCATTAGATGGTAGGTTCTTGCTTATATCATTATTTCTTTTTCAACTTTATTTTAGGGTTTTCACCTGGAATTCTATACCTGTTATATTTATTCAGTCTCTCTCTTCCTACCAGGTTCTTCTCACTTTGTTTTGAAATGGCTCTTATCTGTGTGTCAGATTTTGAAGCTCATGCTAAAAAGCATCTTCCCAAGCCTATCTGGGATTATTTTGCAGCAGGTGCTGATGAATGTTATACACGGGACGACAATCTTATGGCTTATAAAAGGTAGGATATAAAGTAAGTCTTTGAAAGAAGGCATCTACTCATGAGCCAGATGTATCCACTTTGAGATGCAGCACCAAGGCAACTGATTTTTATTCTCCTCGTTCACTCTCTGATGCAAACTGAGATAGAAATGAATGATCTAGCATTCACCAGACTAGAAATTTGATTTGGAAAAAGAAATTGGCCGTGAATATGCTGATGTTTCATAACATCCTAGTTTTGATGAGTGTTCTGGCCACTTCTCACAGAAGTGTGTGACACAGCCTAACTTGCTACAATAGTGAGCAGCAGATCACTACTCTGAGCACCAGTAATCACTACTGGATGGTTAAACCTGAGTTTCTGGTTACCCCAGAATTGTTGAAATAGTTCTTGGTCCCACTTTCACTACAAGAAACACCCAGCTTTTCAAAACAGAAGGAGTCTCGTTGCATTTGCCCAGTGGAGGCACGGCATGCATTTAGATTATTTATAGCATACTTACTGTTATGTTTGGAGAATAAGGAGACCAGACATCTGACCAGTGACTTCAACTCTTTAATAATAACAGGAATCAGAATGGAACAGAGCAAAGCTATGGGCAGCAGTAGCCCTTTTATAGGGTTAGCTGCTACCTTATTAACCAATGAACTTGCAACAGGTTCAAACTATTAACCAATAAGAAGTATTCCCAAAGTGGCCAATCAGGGTCTAGTTCTGGCCCAATCCGAAGTTGTTGTACAAGGACCAATCAAGTCTGCAGGTTTTCAACCCCTGATTTGCATTTAGAATATCAACTTTTATTGATTCACAACACCCCTCCCCCTTGGGTTCCGTTTGAGGAGAGCTGTAATAAAATCCTCAAGATAGGCAGGCCGTTTGGTCTGCCTGGATGATTTCCGAGGCTCCACCGGGTTTTGTCTAATGTCCGGTTCCGGTGGAGCATTTGGATGACCTTTATTAAAATCTATTGCGCTGCACGGCGATTCCGTGCTGCATTCGCTTTGGTTGTCTCTGCTACTCCGTGTTTCTTCGGGGTTTAGCAGTTCAGTTTCCCCCGTATTAGAGTTCCCTGGCAAAGTCAACTCCCTTCCCGCTTCCCGCTCCGGTGTTCCGCTGGGCTGTAGGGCCTCCGTTGGCCCGCTATTAATTGTATCCAAGTCACCCTCCTCGATGCTTCCTCCCCCTTGAGTTGGAGAAACCGGGGGACCATGACCGCTGGGTGGTAATCTCGACCGGAGCTGGTCTATGTGGCGTTTCCACACCCTCCCATCATCTGTAAGCAGGCGGTAGGATCTCGGCCCGGTGAGGTGGGTAACGGTTGCGGGTATCCATAGCGGGTCGCCGGAAAAGTTTTTGGCAAAGGTTAAATCGCCTACCTTAAATTCCCGGCATTTGCTGCTGGAACCGAAAGGCTTTTCTGGTGCGAAAGCGGGGTGGAGCCGGTCAAGGTGCGATCGGAGTTTCCGCCCCATAAGAAGTTCAGCGGGCGTTTTGTTGGTCACACTGTGAGGTGTGATGTGTTGCAACAAGAGAATTCGGTTGATTTTCTCGTCGATGTTGCCACATTCCATTTTGTGAAGGGTCTTTTTTACGAATTGTACCATGCGTTCTGCACGTCCATTCGCCGCAGGGTGCGCGGGCGAGGTTAACGCATGGCGGATGCCCCGATCGGCAAGATATTGTTCAAAGGGCAATGCAGTGAACTGAGGGCCGTTGTCCGAGACCAACACGTCCGGAAACCCGTGTGTGGCAAATAGTCTGTTTAATTTATTAATAACTGAGTCTGTTGTAGTTGTGTGGACCGGTTTCGCTCCGTTCGCAGTCGGTTGACTTCTTCCTCATCGCTGTCGGACGGGGACTCTAGGTCTTCGTGGTGAGTTGATACCGGGTGTCTCTCTGAGCGAGGCGAGGTATCAGTAGCGAGTTTACATTGCGGTGCGTTGGTGCGGCGCATTCGGGCTGCCGACTTCTTGGTCGCCTCTGTGGCCGAGGCTTCTTTAAGGGCGTCGGTGAGGCTGATGTCTCCCTTAGCCATAATTTTACTCTGGATTGTGCCATCTTCTAGGCCCAGAACCAGGCGATCCCGGAGAGCTTCCTCTAAATTTGCGAATCCGCAGAGGCCTCCCAGGTTTCGGAGGTCCGCGATGTAATCGGCAAGGCTTTCCCCTTTCTGTTGGTCCCTCCGGTAATATTCGTGTCTTCTGACGAGGGTTGGCACCGTAGATGCGTAGTGAGCCCGTAGTAACGGCTCGAGGACGTCCCAGTCCATCTCTTTTACCTCTGCTGGCCTGGCAAGCGACTTTGCCATCTTAAACACGGTCGGCCCGCAGTGAGTTAGAAAGATAGCTCTTTTTTTCCCCGCTGTTGCATTTTTTAGGTTGTTGGTCTCCAGAAACATCTGGAACCTATCCATGTATGACTCCCAATCTTCGGTTTCTGGGTCGAATGGAGCGGGTGGTACGACACCGCTGGCCATGTTGCCGTTGATGGTGCGTGATCAACCACGTGCTCTGTAGGTTGCTCTGTAGGTTTAGTCAGCTCTTCGGTCTCCGCATCCCACCCTCGTCGCCAGTGTTATGTTTGGAGAATAAGGAGACCAGACATCTGACCAGTGACTTCAAATCTTTAATAATAACAGGAATCAGAATGGAACAGAGCAAAGCTATGGGCAGCAGTAGCCCTTTTATAGGGTTAGCTGCTACCTTATTAACCAATGAACTTGCAACAGGTTCAAACTATTAACCAATAAGAAGTATTCCCAAAGTGGCCACTCAGGGTCTAGTTCTGGCCCAATCCGAAGTTGTTGTACAAGGACCAATCAAGTCTGCAGGTTTTCAACCCCTGATTTGCATTTAGAATATCAACTTTTATTGATTCACAACACTTACAAACCTCTGTTTCTTAGCCAGCATGATGCCTGCATTTCTGTGGGCACTAGAGGATGGGAAAACTAAACTTACATAATAAAAGGACTGCCTGCCTGCAACTTTTATATCCAAGTAAGAATGATGGCTGCTTTCTCTCTTCTCTGTTCCAGTATCTTCCTCAGTGTTCAACAAGATTACTGTTTGTTGTCTGTTACTGAAAGGGCTGGATAAATGCATGAGTAACTTTTATCTATAGATTTTGCACCTCTCCTTCAAAGACCATTTGGTGCAGTGGTTAAAGTGCTGACCTAGGAGTGGGAAAACCCAATTCCACTTTTCCCTTAGGCAGGAAGATGACTTTTGGCAAGTCCTTGCCTCTCAAGCATAGGAAGAAGGCATTCGCAAGCCACTTCTGAAAATGTTCCCAAGAAAACAGCAGGGACTTCTCCGTGCAATCACGAGTTCAAGATTAGCGACACCAAAAACACTCTCCTTCACAGGGCTGCATGTGCATTTGTATCTTCTTCATAGGCCTTACAAACTGAGCAAGATTGGTGCCACTGCAGGGCTATCAGATCTGCGCTGAAAACATCTGGACAACTAGATGGCAGCAGTGACACACATACCACGCTTGCAACACACATTTGGTTGCTTTCAGCCATTGCAGAATTCAGGATATATGACAAAATCTAGGACATTGCTTGAGGTTATTATGGTAGATTGAATAATGGATAGGAAAATAAATGGATAAGCAGACAGATAGGGAGGGTTCATTTTTCTGAACTTCCTTCAATAATATTACCTCTGATCAACTCTGAAGCTTCTGCTCTCTCTTCATCCCACAGAATCTATTTGCGGCCACGGGTGCTGCGGGATATGTCGGTAATAGATCCAAGGACCACGATTCTTGGCTCTGAAATTGACTTCCCAGTGGGGATTGCTCCTACTGGTTTCCACGGTTTGGCCTGTCCTGATGGAGAGCAGAGCACAGCTCAAGGTATGCAAGATTATAGGCCAAAAATAATTTTGGTATTCGATATGGGAATAGTGTAGGAGTCTGCAACCTGCGACTCTGGAGCCACATGTGGCTCTTTTGGCCCTCTTCTGTGGCTCCCTGTCGGCTGATCCCACCACTGGGTGGCCCCTCCCATCACTCCTTGCCTGGCCTGAGAAGGTAAGGATGATGGCAGGGGATGGAAACTCTCTCCATATTCCAGAGCAGGAGGTGGCTGGGTGGGAGTGAGTGACATTGAGTTGGCCACACCCACCCAGTCGCACCAGTTGTTAAATTATTGGCTCCCGGTATTTTATTTTCTGTGGGAAACGGGGATTCAAATTTTTTTACTACTGGTTCTGTGGGCGTAGCTTGGTGGGTGTGGCTTGGTGGGCATGGCCATGTGACTGGTGGGCATGGCTTTTTTTTTTTTTTTTGCTTTTTTTGCAACCACCCCCCTCCACGCTCTGTTTTGGGACCTTCTGGAGGAGCCTCTGGGGGGGCATTTTTTTGCCCAGAAGGCTCCTCTGGGCATCAGGAAGGCAAAAAATGGAGCGGGGGACTGAGCTCCTCCCTCCATTTTTTGCCTTCCTGGGCCTCAGCAAGGGGAATCCTGGCACAGCTGATCGTATGAACATCTGATTGTTGGAGGGGGAAAAAAGAAAGAAATACCTTAAGGGGCAAGCGTCAGGCAGGTGGGGTGAGTGAGCATCAGGTGGGTGGGGCAAGCGAGCCAGCGGCGACCAGGCGACCAGGTCAGGGGCATGGCCAGCCAGAACTTACTGCCAGTTCGGCGACCCATGCCAAATCCTTGCTACCAGTTCGCCCGATGCAGTGCAAACTGGCTGAATACCACCACTGTTGCAGACCCCTGGTATAGTATTTTCAAAAGAAAACAAGCCATTTTAAATACATCCATCATTTTCTTTCTTTCTTTCTTTCTTTCTTTCTTTCTTTCTTTCTTTCTTTCTTTCTTTCTTTCTTTCTTTCTTTCTTTCCTTCCTTCCTTCCTTCCTTCCTTCCTTTCTCTTTCTTTCTTTCCTTCCTTCCTTCCTTCCTTCCTTCCTTCCTTTCTTTCTTTCTTTCTTTCTTTCTTTCTTTCTTTCTTTCTTTCTTTCTTTCTTTTTCTTTCTTACTAATCTATCATCCACTAAACCTAAATGGTAATTGTAAATGGTATAGAGAGAGAGACAGCAGAACACACTACTTGTTTCCCACAGAATATCTGCACTGTGAGTTCACCCAGTTTCTTTTAGTAGGGAATCACATGCAGGGCTTGAACAGCTGCATGCAAAATATATGGCACTTCAGGGGGCAAGGGTTCCTTAAGCAACCAATTTCATCCCCAAATAGGTAGCTAAAGCAGGATTTTTAAAAAAAGCTGTAGGATTGGGCTGCTCCTGCTTAAGCTACTTTTGAAGGTGGGTGCTTGTTTTGCTTTCTCCCTGTGCCATGAAGATTGTTGTGGCAAGTATCCCAAAGGGAATACAATCTGGCCCCTTCCTACTTTGGCTTTGTATTCATTCCTCTAACACAGTCAAATGAGCATGGCCTAATTACTGTAGAATTCTGACTTACTTCTAACCTAATCTTACGTAGCTTTTTCTCTGGTAATATTACACTAATAACTAGAGCATACAAAACATTTGCTAGACCAATACTCAAATACAGCTCATCAGTCTGGAACCCACATTAGGTATCTGATATTAACACAGTTGAGAAAGTCCAGAAATATTTCAGAAGAAGAGTTCTCCACTCCTCTACTCGTTGCAGAATACCTTATGCCACCAGATTCGAAATTCTAGACCTAGAAAACCTACAACTACGCCGCCTTCGGTCCAATCTAAGTATAGTATATAAAATCATACATTGCAATGTCCTACCAGTCAATGAATACTTCAGCTTCAACCATAACAACACAAGAGCAAACAATAGATACAAACTCAAGGTTAACCGCACCAAACTTGATTGCAGGAAAGACGACTTCAGCAACAGAGTGGTCAATGTCTGGAATATTCTACCTGACTCTGTGGTTTCTTCCCCAAACCCCAAAAACTTTAACCTTAGACTCTCTACTATTGGCCTCACCCCTTTCCTAAGAGGTCTGTAGGAGGCATGCATAAGCGCACCAACGTGCCTACCGTCCCTGTCCTATTGTTTCTTTTTTTAAAAAAATTTCTTATATGTATCCATGTATTCATAACTATGTATATACTTATACCTATTATCTTGTAAGCAATTGACAAAAATAAATAAATAAAAATAAAAAATAAATTACTACTTATATGCACATGTCAGTGGTGGAATTCAAAAAAAATTACTACCAGTTTTGTGGGCGTGGTTTGGTGGGCGTGGTATGGCTTGGTGGGTGTAGCAGGGGAAGGATACTGTAAAATCTCCATTCCCACTGCACTCCTGGGGGAAGGATACTGCAAAATCCCATTCCCTCCCCATCCCACTAACCTGCTTTCCATCTCCGTTCTCCTGTGCAAGGCAACAAAAGAAGACCCAGCCAATCAGCTGGGACTCGGGAGGCAGAAAATAGATGAGGGCGGGGCCAGTCAGAGGTGGTATTTGCCGGTTCTCCGAACTACTCAAAATTTCCGCTACTGGTTCTCCAGAACTGGTCAGAACCTGCTGAATACTACCTCTGGTGGTAGTATTATATGCATGTAAATATGTGAGTGTATACATACAAAACTATGTCTATCTATCCATCCATCCATCTCTCCATCCATCCATCCACTGCTTTTTTCATCTGACGGAATGGCTACAACCTTGCCTGTGATTGCCTGGTCAAAAGTCCAGCCAAGATATTTCATTTGGCTCCATGCCAGTATTAACTGCACTGCTGCTTACCGTCAGGGAAATGGGGCAGGACTTTTAAGGCCCTCAGAATTCGGAAAATAGGAAACCTGCAACAATGTAGGATGATGACTGATAGACTTCTATGTAGAAAATGTTCTGTCCATTGCTAATACATCTTCACTTATATGACAGCTGTTATGTCTTGAAGTGAGCAATGCCATAACAAAAGATATTACATCTGATGTAACAGGAAATGGAAAAAAGTTCTTTGCTAACTTGCAAACATTGCCAAGGGCTGATTGTGAATCAGGCCGGCTATTAATCATGGAAAGGTATCAGACTGAAAGAGACTTACAGTAAAGAGGATTAAACTAATGAGGTACAACCGTGAATACATTTCTGAAGAATATGAAGCTAAAAACAGTTTCAAAGACTGGAACCTTGTGGACAGAATACCTGAAGAATTGTGGAGAGAAATTAAAATGATCATTAAAAAAGAAAAAGCCAGAAAGCATATAATAAGAAAGAAAAAAAAGAAAGAAAGAAGAAAAAGGACACACTTTTTCAAGAGGCAACTGTACTTTCTGATTTTTCTTTGAAGATGTTCACTTTTCATCCAAGAAGCTTCTTCAACACTCAGAGCTGAAGATGTTTCTTGGAAGAAAAATGAAACATCTTCAAAGAAAAACCAGAAAGCACAGTTGCCTCTTGAAAACGTACCTTTGGACATGACCTGGATGACTGAAAGTGTCCATAAAAGACAAACCGTTATCAAACAAAGTTATAGAAAAAAGCTAAGGAAAAAAAGAACTAGCAAAAGCCGTTGATTTGGGGAAAACTAAAGAAATTAATACAAACTTCCATGAAGTGATAACCTGAACTCAGAATATAGATAAGTAGAAAAAATAACAGTATAGGGAAGCACAAAGAATCTATTTAAGAAAATTAGAAAAATCATGGGAAGCTTCCCATTCATCTCAGTGATATAAGAAACAAACAGGAAGGAATTAATTAATGAAAAACATGTATAAGAAGAGCAACTCAGGTGAAACCATAGTCAAGAAAAGAATCTGAGGATGAGCTTGAGAAGCAAGTCACATGAACTGTAAACCTGTTGGGCAAGTACAAAAGCCTCAAGAGTGAATCAAATCTCCATAGAGTTCTTCAAGGGTTTGGATGGAAACAATATAGAACAAATCAACCCCTATCAACAAACTTGGGAGGGGGGTGGAAGTAGCATGGCTCTATGAAGAAATAAGGTCTAAAATTGTTGCATTTGCTAAAATGAGAGGTTTAAAGGAATGCTATAACTATAGAATAGCCCTAACAATACATCCACCACATGCCAGGTAGATGCTTCCTTCAGAAGAGAGTATATGAAAGAGAAGGTGCAAATGAACAGGTAGACTTCAGAAGAAAGAAAGGAACATAAGCTCATATTGCTAATACTAGGTGGATAATGTAAATAGCAGCAGAATATGGAGAAAAGCTTACCCGTTTAATAAACTATTCCAAAGTTTTTGGAAATCTTCCAAGGCAATGTGAATGCCAAGCATCCAGTTCTTCTGATACAAAATCTCTAGAACAGGGGTGTCAAACTCACGTTGTCATGGCGGTATCATGTGACGTATCGGGACTTTTCCCCCCTTTACTAAACTGGGCGGGCATGGGGCCTGTAGGCCGCAAGTTTGACACCCTGTTCTAGAATAACCAGGAAACTGCAGTGAGAATTGGGCTCTCCACAGAGTCTGGGACCGTCCCTCTTAGAACAGCAGCATCTATAGGCTGTTTTAGCCCTGTCTCTTTGTACCTGTGGCACAATGTTGATGTGCACACAAAATGGACAGAACTTAAATTACAGTACCATCACCACCATCTTGCCTGCTTTTACTTCTTAATGGGGACACCACAGTCTTAAATTGGGACTTATTGGCTGCATGGGAAGCACTACTAGATGGTTAAGCTTAATTATAGAACCAAAGAAGTCAGTTTTGACTCTTCCGCCTTCCCTCCATATTTTCTAAAGCGGCAGAAGCTATGAATACCTGCTACATAGCCAGCACATATTCCACTTTCTCTGTGGAAGAAATTGTTGCTGCTGCACCTACTGGTTTACGGTGGTTCCAACTCTACCTCCATCGGAAGAGGACGTTCTCAGAGCAGCTGGTACGACGGGTTAATGCATTGGGATTCCAGGCCCTGGTGCTCACAGTTGACGTGCCCTACACTGGCAAGAGGCGGAATGACATTCGCAACAACTACCAGTTCTTGAAATCCATCCAAGTGAAGAACTTTGAAGGAGCTTTTGAGGTTGGTAACTTTTAAAACCCTTCAGTTTAAAAAAGCATGTGAAGGAAGAGATGGTGGATCTTAGAATCCAAACATATGTGCACATTTTAGAATCCTGGCTGAGTTTGCATTCTGCAAACTTCGGTTTAGAATTGCCTACCTATGCAGATTCCACTACTGAGGCATAAACTATTTCTAAGACTGAATCCTCTGAATTAATGATGTGACCTTGAAAACCTCACCCTAAACTGCTGTATGTGAGCTTCCTTCATATAATGTTTGAACATAGCAAGTTCACATGTACAGAATTCATTTCTGAGGTGTTATCTTCTGAATTACTAATAAGCTATAATGTTAACAGATAACTAAATTATCTCTCTGAAAAATATTTTAAAATACCAATAATAATTATTGATCTATTTTGTCTGATGGCTGTGCAGTTGGTTGAATGGTCATTCAGTTGAGGAAGCTGTAATAATGGATTCCTGTATTTGGCAGGAATGGATAATTTCCTTCCAACCTGGAAGAAAATTATCCATTATATTGTAGTATTCTTAAGCAAATATTCAAATAAAGATGTTTCATTAGTAACGCTTAATATTTGATATTTAAGTAACAGTTGATGTCTAATATTTACTACTGACATGAGTACATGTGGTTTTGTGAAGGACATTTCATTTTTATTTTTCCTGTGAAAATTCTGAAACTCAATACTTCCCAATCATTACTTTATCTTTTTGGCCTTAGGCCAGAAATGCTACCAAAAGGGCCTTACAGGCTAAAAAAGAAAACACTTATCTGGACTGATTCACACCACATTGTATGAACACCACACCACAATGGCTGAGCCATTGTGGCAATATAGCTCTTTGTGATCCACACTTCTTGATTATTCTCACAGAAAATGACAAAGACCATTATAATACTGTAATATGTAATAAAAGACTGAGCCATCCAAAATTAAATCTATAACATTCCTCAAAATAAGTTCAGGTATGATTGATTAACTAGAATATACTAGAATATACTTTGCATATTTCTACTTGATGGTCAGAAATGTGCATCTGCTGGAAGGGAATTGTCGCAGGATTTTTCTAGGCTCAAAATAGTCAGCATGTGGAAAAAAAGACTGTTTGTTTTTATGAAAAGTCAGGCAACTCTTACACTCTGCAAGTTTTGAAGGCCCTGGTGAGGACAACCTTTATCAGCTCTTTAACTTTTAGTGATGTACTATGAGGAAGGGGACAGAGAAATGGATTTCCAAGTTCCACCTTCTTCTCCTTGAGAAAAGGGCCACGGAAAGGCAATGCAGTCTCAAAGGACAAGCAGTTTTCCTGATTACAGTAAATGAGTTCTTGGGATAATTGCTCAATCTCTATCAGACTGTACTAAGCAATGACCAGAAAAAAAGAAGAAATCTCCTTGAACTATGAAAGGGTATTTGGCATTTCTTCAGCACTAAATCTTGCCCTTCCTCTTCCTGGATCTCTAGCTCTGTCTCCCTAAGGAAGGAAGCTAACACTGCTATTTTCTCCCATTTCTTGTGGTTCCCCTTGGGTTAGCTACCAAAGCAACATGTTCTTGGGCATCCTGAGGCTAACCTGGGGTGCGGATGTCCCTAGCCTCATTGTCACAACCCTTACAATCTCTTGCAAACTTACAAGGCTTCCTTACAACATAATGAGGAATGGCAAAATGTTGTCAATAGGCTATTTACATACTAAAAGTTGAAACAGTCTGATACCCTGATCTTTTTGTCAGCAAAGCAGAAAGTGCCTATTACAGCATGCTGAAGAGTTCTTAGGTGAACTCAAGTGTTCCGTGGGACATATGCAAGACACTTGGAAGTGCCTCATAAAAAGATAAATTATTTTGGAGCAGCAGATTTTAACAAATACATCAATAACAGGAAAAATAAATTCTATACAAACCTAATCATATTACTGGAGAAGTGTTAAATGTTGCAGGACCAGTAAGCCAGCATTTACTTAAGCAGACATATGTATACTAACAGAGTATACAATGGCAATGAAGTTTCCATCGTCCTCTCTCCTTCAGGATGAAGACCAGACTGAATATGGTCTGCCCCCTGGATCCATAGACCCATCTATCAATTGGAATGACATCACCTGGCTACAAAGTCTGACCCAGCTGCCAATCATCATCAAGGGGATTCTGACAAAGGAGGATGCTGAGCTAGCTGTGAGACATGGGGTTCAAGGGATTATCGTATCCAATCACGGAGGAAGACAGCTAGATGGAGTCCTTCCTACTGTAAGTCATGAGCCATTATTGGCTATAGCAAACAATGTTGCATTTTCATTGTAAGTTAAAGTTAGAAAACTATAACCCCGTTTAAAATGTAAGCTCCATCCATCCAGTTGCTAGGTTCCCAAACTCCAAGCTTCACAAATAATAAAAACAGAATAAACATCATAATATATCATATAGCAAAGCAGCAATAAAATTGTTTCTCTGCGTCATAGACAGTAAACCGGGGTGGAATTCTACTGGTTCAGACCGGTTCTATAGAACTGGTTGTTATGATGCTGCACAGTTCAGAGAACCAGCAAATTGTGCCCCTGGCTGGCCCCTCCCCTCCCCACCCACCCCTCCCCGCCCAGTCAGTCCTTATCGCACATGTGCGACATCACATGCATGCCTGACATCGTTGACTGGTTCTCCCCTGCCCAGTCACTCCTTAAGGTTTTTCCCCCTCCCAACGATCAGCTGTTCTGATTATCAGCTTTGCCGGGATCCCCTTCGCTGTCTTACTGCTTTGCCCAGGTGGCTTCCCTGAGGCCCAGGAGGCAAAAAGAGGCGTGCTCCATTTTTTTCATTCCTGGGCCCCAGGGAAGCTTCCTGGGAGCAAAAACGCCCACCAGATGATTTCCCTGAGGCCCAGGAAGCCCAAAAACGGAACGCAGGGGGGCTGCCCCCCTGTGTTCCATTTTGGGGCTTCCTGGGCCCCAAGGAAGCCTTCTGGGAGCAAAAACACCCCCCAGGAGGCTTGCATGAGGCTCAGGAGGCCAAAAAAAAATGGGTTATTTTTTTTTTTGCTGCAAAACAAAAGGCCACGCCCACTCAGTCATATGACCATGCCCACTTAGCCACGAGACTTAGCCTCGCCCATTTAGCCATGCCCACCTAGCCACATCCACAGAACCAGTTGTTAAAGAATTTGAATCCCAACCCTGCGGTAAATGATTATAGCAGCTATTGATAAAAATAAAAAGGAAGTATCCTTGTAAAAAATTGTAATCGGCTTTTGCAAAACTTGTTAATAGGATGTTAATTTATTCGGGGTCTCTCTTGGAAAGGAATTCCTGAGTTTAAATACAGCCCCTGAAGATCCATTTCCTCCTCCCTATCAAATGAATGTTGGGGCTTGTTGTTACTACAAGAAGTTCTTGGCCAATAATTTTAATAGATAATCAGGTTATACAGAAGGTTTATGTCGTTCAGATATTCTGGTCTTCAATCATTTGGGATTTTTTGAGCACCTCAACCTGTATTACTGGAAACTAACTGAAAAAGGGTCTTTGTTTTAGTTAAGAATTCACACTCACCCCATCCCATGCAATTGTAATAATTTAATTTGATTGATCATGTTTGCAGATTGCTGCTCTGGTTGAAGTAACTACTGCAGTGCAAGGCAAAATCGAAGTTTACTTGGATGGTGGAATACGAACAGGGAATGATGTATTGAAAGCATTGGCACTTGGAGCAAAATGTGTCTTCATCGGCAGACCCACAGTGTGGGGTTTGGCCTATAAGGTGAACATAACTCCCTGCATACGAGTGTCTATGAGGAAAAAAAATTTGAAGATAAATAGCTGTGTCTTTATGTGACCAACTGAAGTCAGCTTCCCCATTTTCTTTAGATTTGCACTCACTAGATAATGCTTCCCATTTGATTTCATATGGCATGCCTGTCTAACGATCAAGCTTAATGTTGAAATTTGATTTATTCAGTAAGCTTCATTATATCTGCTCACATTCAGATATACACATTTTAAGGTTTACTTCAGGTCTCTGGTGCAGCAGGCTCTTAACATGACGAGTTATAATTCAAACAAGGATAGTGGAGGAAGGGAGTTTTAAATCAAGTTGACCGTTCACCATAGGAAAGGCTAGTAATTCAGAAAGCAAAAGCCGAGTTTTTACAAACAAGTCCTTGGTCAGGCATTAAAAAAAAAATCTGCTAGCATTTAGTCTTGGTCACTCATGTGCTTGAGCACATCTCTGCCTTTTTATAGATCATTATACCCTTTCCTATAAAGATAAACCTAATTAGAGCCACAACAACACGTTTTACTGAATTTTATGATAGCTGGAGGCATGGAAGTTTAGGAAAAAAGTAGAAAAGAAGAAAGCAATGGTATGTTATAAGGTCGCTAGAACTGCACTAAAATGAAAGCTGTAATCAAATCATTCTGGAGAAAATTAGACTCTCCTTGCAAGGCATCTGTAAGAACAAGGATGTCAAACTCAAGGCCTAGGGGCTGGACCTGGCCTGCAAGATGCTTAGATCTGGCCCGCAGGCCCACCCTGGAAACAGCAAAGAACCAGCCCACAGTGCCTCTGCCAGCAAAAATGGAGCTGGGAGGGCCACACACAGCCCTCCCAGGCTCTGTTTTTGGCCACAACAGTCTCCTGCAACCTCTGCCAACAAAAATGGAGCTTTCAGAGGCTGCACACAGCCCTCCCAGGCTCCATTTTCAGCTGCAACAGCCTCATGCAACTCTCTGCCAGCGAAAACAGTACCTGGGCCGGCTGTGCATGGCCTCCCCAAGCTCCATTTTTCATTGGTAGAGGGCTGCAGGAGGCTGTCACAGCCAAAAACGGAGCCTTGATGAGTGACATTGAGCTGGCCACACCCACCCACCCAGTCCCCCAAGGTCAAACACAACCCTGATGCGGCCCTCAATGAAATCGAGTTTGACACCCCTCTGCAAGAGGTTCAAAAAAGTCAAGTTGGCAGCCATGATCATACAATCAAAGCCTTGGCCCATTTTACATGTTTTACATAACACACATTTTAAAAGGGTGGGGATCTTGATTGCATAATTAGAATTGGCATCCTTTATTTTTTTGGCTCTCCCCCTCCCAGTGTTTTCATTTTTTGGTATCCAATAAATAGAATCTTATCTTTTTTCTGGACCCACCTGACAAGTTGTATTCTCCTAACCCAGAATTGATCCCTGTTTTCCACACTGGTTTCAGTTTCTTTCTGGTTATGAGCTATTTTGCAAATAAAATACTATAGTAACATAATAATACTTAGTAGAACATAAATCCATGATCCTTAGATCAAATTTGCAAGATTCTAAAATTTACTCCATTAAGCACAAACAATTAAACTGAAAGTAGCTCACTAATGCTTTTCTGGTCTCAAAAATTCACAGATAATTTATTGTTAAGACATATATCTGAGAAACAGCAAATGGTTTTGAAAAATTATGTACAAAATTGGATAGGTTTATTTTAAAAAAAGTCAATAGAAAAAATGTGCATCTTTAAAAAAAACCTCTTCTCAATATGGGCACCTATGTACTTCAGTAGAACTAGCATATGAAAAATCTGAATGGAGGTTAAATATGTAAATGAAACTAGAGGCAGATTTTAAGGATTCATTTTAATCCATGACAAAAAATTGCAACCCAAGAAATCTGAATGGTAAATGAAATGGTTGAGGCAGATTCATGCATATCTAATAACTAGTTCAAACTTCCCTACTGTGCCAATTTATTTGGTCTCTCAGCAATGCTGTTAGAAACAGTGAAGATTCCCAAATACTCTTAGGAATGGCTAAGAGATAAGTAATATTTTTTGAGAACTGGAAATGGAATATAGTTAGCCTACATCCCTTTTTCCCCAGTCAAGGCATAGCTGACTGAGGAATTCCTCGGAGTTGAAGTCCACAAGTCTTAAAGTTGCCAAGTTTGGGGACCCTTGCACTAGCATCTTGCTCATATAGGGTCAACAGGTTTTACGTAGCTTTAAATGCTGACAAATCTGATTAGAAACAAAAGAAAAATAAATATACAGCCAACATCATAGAAAATGCTGTTACTGAGAGCTTTTTATTTGAAAACTGCAGCGTTCTCTACATTTTCAAGCTATGTTAGCCACATTCATTTACAATGCCGTTCATTTTTGAAACAGGGTAAAGAAGGACTTCAAGAACTTTTGAAGATTTTAAAAGATGAATTTTGTCTGTCAATGGCTCTCACTGGTAAATACATCTTTAAATTACTGTTGTATTTCATTTTTTTCATTTCTTTGATTGGTTTATCTCTATGTGTTGATTAGATTTGGAAGGCTACCTGACTCTAGAACTAATCTGAGCAGCTTCCAGTATAAAAACAGATAAACAAAGTAGAATCTGAAGTAGCTTTTCAATTGTATCCTATATCTAATATAAACATTGGCAAGGCTACACAATCAACTGTCCCAAGGCCAGGGAAATTTCTGGAACATTGTTATGGTGGAAGCTGGATCTCTGAGGGGAGGGAGGGGGAGGTGCCTTGTACCAGAGGACAGTTTCATGACTGAGAAGGCATGTTTCCTGGGTTCCAATAAATAGCATTTTTTGATTGAAGAGACTTTGTTCAATTTTACTCATCAGGCAGGGAGATAGGCAGGCCTTCAAATAATTGGGCCGATGGCTTGAAAGTAGTTAAGTAGTTACCAGCACTTTAAACTGCACCTGGAAATTCACTGGCAACCTGTGCAGCTCAGTTCTATATAATGTTGACCTATCCAATTTCAAAATTCATAAGGTGAATTTTCAGAGAAAAATGTTTTTCAGCTAAAAAAAAAATTATATAGGTAGTCCTCGACTTAGGAGTACAATTGAGCTCAGAATTTCTGTTGCTAAGTAACACATTCAGTAAGTGAATTTTGTCCCATTTTACAACCTTTTTTTGCCACAGTTGTTAAGTGAATCACTGCAATTGTTTAGTTAGTAACACGGTTGTTAAATGAATTTGGCTTCCCCATTGATTTTGCTTGTCAAAAGGTCACAAAAGGTGATCACACATGTCTCCAGGATACTATAACTGTCATAAATATTAGTCAGTTGCCAAGCAATTAATATTGATCCTGTGGCCATAGGGATGGTCATTAGTGTGAAAATCGGTAATAAGCCACTTTTTTCAGTAACTTTGAATGGTCACTAAGTGAACTGTTGTAAATTGAGGACAACCTCTATTTGAAAGTCAGGGAAAGGGGAGAGGAATGCAGAATTAGCTTTCTATGTTTAAATATAATTTTATTCATGAGCTTATAACAAGAAACTTGAATCTGTTTTATTTATTTTTTCTTGATGAGCCTTAATTATTTTCTCGGTATAGTAGGTTCCTTTAACCATTTGCATATTTTCTTTTCACTTAGGCTGTAAAAATGTCTCAGAAATTGGCCGGCATCTTGTTCAGTATTCCAAATTGTAAAGAACTCTTCTGCAACGCTCACCAGACCAGAAGCAGCATGCTAGCTAAAGTGGGGAAAACACCTCTGGATGATTAAAAACAAGGGGGAGACCTCAGCCACCAGCCACATGTCAAAAAGTTTGTCTAATGATATTTTTGCAGTCCCCTGAAGTAAATGGGACACAGCAGCTTAAAGCTGGCCTATACTGAACTGTGAATAACTGGGAGCCCCATTCCTTTGCATCCTGTCTTCATGATACCCAGCTAGGAAACATTCCTTAAAAACTTTCAATTTTACCACATTCTCCTCCCTGGATTAAGTGTGTGAAATGCCATAGTATCCAATGACTTGTCTGTTTTACTTTGAATAATACAATAAAAATAAATCATGGCATCACTTACTTGGAATGGCAATGTTAGGCCACAGAGTCCAAGTACAGTTCAGTGATGAAATCTTAATTAAAAATTCCCTGGCAGGTTTTTATCCCGCATCTGTTTGAATACATTCAACAAAAGGGAAGCAACCAACTTGCTAGATTATAGATTATTTTCATTACATTTCTTTGTCCTTGCTAGAACCTGTCTTTGCAAGTCTGAACTGCTCCCAGAGGATCAATCCATCCATCCATCAGAACTCACCATTCCTGATCAATAGATGATCCCGGAAATGCATCAGCCAATCTCTATTCATCTTCCAGTTAGAAAGGAAAACCACCTTCCCTCCCCCGCCCCTCCATGACTGTAAAAACATTTGCTGATTAGGGAAGAAGCTCTCAGTTTAACTACAGTAACGTCAACATGGCAACAGGAAGCCAGGCCTGTGTGATTTACCAGCTTCATACAATTACCATGGAGAACAACTTGTTGTGAATGAATAAAAATTACTAAACCTAAATG